CCAACCAGCCGTATATATCAGCTTCACCTACCAGCCACCCGCGTCCACAGGCAGCGTCAAGCAGCGCACCGGTTCGGATTGTGCCTAGTATTGGCGAGTCGCAGAAATCAGCAGGCAAAAAGCGCCGTAAGGAAACAGCCCCAAGGTCACTACTGTTTACAGAGAACCTGCGACAAATCCAACCACGACCTGAGGGTATGCCACATGTTATGCCAGAGGTATCCCGTACGCCTGTTGTCAAGAGGTCACTGCCAAGCAAAGACTCGGCGAACAAGAAGCAGAAGACCAAGATCAACTCTGAGGGATACTTCCTGAGCGAGCGGCTGCAAGTCCTCCAAGTCATGTCTGCCGATGCCAGAGCGAAGCAGATCATTCTCGAGATGCTCCACTATCTCCCAAAGCTGGACAGCATCAAGGTAGTCGACGGGTTTGGCAATATGGTGCGGGCTGAACTCTTTGATATTAACATGGAAAGTACTATTAGTGTTTCTGAGTTCCCGCCTCGCGAGTAGTTCTTACCATATATTTTACTTAATCCATCTGAAATCTTAAATGATATGCAACATATAATCGATTCACTCACAGCAGGACACTGCCAAGATATTCACACAGCGCTCAGTGACTCTGACGGCTTCCAGAAGCATCAAATATCACACATGGAAATCACACATTCAGATCGAGGATCAACGACGAGTGGCACACCCTGCCACACCAAATATGGCGCCAGCATCTTTCCCTCGGAGGAAGTCACATGCCCCCTCACAACAAAGGAGAGTTCGGCATGCAGGACGTATTGCTCACGTTGGCCGAATTGGTGCATAAAGAGAGGCGGAGCACGTTGAGGTGCCAAATTAGGCAGCACGTAGAGTACAATCCCAAAACAATCCCACGAGGCAACAGGGCTCTTGACAGCGAATACCAGGACAACAGGCTTGGAGTTCACTAAACAAGGGTTGGGGTTGGCTTGGACAAAAGAGCCAGCTCAGTAGCCAAAAAAATAGTGAACACTGAGGCAGAGGGCAGCATGCATGTGTTTATTAGTTTCCACATCTTAGACCCAAGGTGTTCAACAACCTTATCTTTTTCGTTTTCATCGACACCTACACTACCTGTGCCATTGCCTACAGTTTATATAAAATGTTTATCAAGATGTATCCACCTGTCAGTAGTACCCTTCGCAACTCACAGCAATGTGATCTCCACGGGAGGCAGGAGGCGTCTCACTTATTCGAAGATGCAAGGGATTATTCTGGCATATAACTCTGTTAAACATGCTTTTTATTATTATTTTTTTGATATCCATATATTATGATGTGCCCTGTAATACTAAAGACGAGCGATTTGCCCCGTGGATGGTATAGCTGCTTTGCTGACATTGTCATTTTTAAGGCAAAAATTGGTGAACAAATATTCGCCTTCAGTGAATTCTTGATAGTGTATAACAGGGGTCCATTGGCTACCTTGATAGCAGGCTGCTACAGTGAGCAGCTGGAAACTTAATCAGGGAGCTTGAAATGGCATGGTACTGAGCCAGCTGGGCAAAAATGAACTACCATGCATTGAGAGTTGGTTAGATAGCCTTCCACCCATTATCAAGCAGTCTAGACTTTCTATCTCTACATTCTTATCTGACAGAAAAGCTAAATTCTACTGAATACCTTGCGGGAATAGTTTTCTACAGCCGATCCAACCCACAGCCCTTGTCGTAGACAACTGGTATGACTCCTGTAAAAGGGTACAAAGGTGGTGATTTTGCATACAACGGCACCGTCCGAAGTGGCCATTCTATAGCCACTTCGAAAGAGTGTCAGAGAAACAATGGGCTAGGGAGAAAGGAAAAAGAAGGTCTTAGCAGGAAAGAGATTAATCGCCACGACACCTATGATGAATGATAGAAGCATATGCTAACAATTGATAGTGCTTCCTATTCTGGAAAGAGGAGTACACCGATCACGTAACATCGATAGGGACACTAGCTTTCGATACCACAACATTCTAAATATTGCGTTGCAGTCTAAAGATCGTAGTGACAGTACAGAGCCCCTCATCTAAATCTTTGGATCGTTTCAACCCATGGTTAAAATTAGAATCAACCGACAATGTGTGTTGCCACAAGGGGTGGGTGGTTATTGGGTTTATGGAAAGATAGATTCTCAAATATATGACAGAGGAAGAAGGAAAGCTGATCGTCTACCTGGGCCTTTGTACATGTGCGTTTCGGTCATGCCCATGGTGGTTAAGGGGGATTCCGGACCCCGATTATGAATAATACGAAGCAAGAAAAACTTCAGCAATTCGCGTTGGATAACACTACAAAATAGCATCGCTCAAAGTCTTCTAGTCTATATATTCTCCCATTATTGCGCGATGGTGAAGTATTTGCCATAGCCAATCAAAACAAGAGACGGATAATGGCCGTAGGACAATTCTCAGAAGCAACAATGCTCTCGACAGTGAATACGAGAACAACAGGCTTGAAGCCCACTAAACAAGGGTTGGGGTTGGCTTGGACAAAAGAGCAAGCTCAACAGCCAAGAGATGGTGGGCATCGAGGGAGAGGGCAGCGAGAATGTGTTTATTAGTTGCCTTAGTCATCACAGCAGTGACTGCTGGTTGGGAACCTTTCTGTATTAAAGACCGAAATTAAGATAGAAATTTAAAATGAAATTTTAGATGAAATCATAAATGAAACGTGGAGGGTGAGCTTCTGAGTATCATCCGACACGTATAAAAAAAGGGAGCTAGTACCTCTATGGATGAGCTCCTTACCTTTCAATTTTTCGGCAAAAATCGCCAAATTTTCATTAAAGGCCACCCTATTATCTCTAATTAACTTTCACAATGTCTGACATCCAAATCCGCATTCAACAACTTGAACACGCCCTAGCCGCTATGGGCGTAACTCCTGGCGCTACACTATCACCGCTTAGCTCTGATTTCTCCTTTGACGAAGACACGCTATCTTCAGTCCCTGCAGCTACCCTCCCTGTCTACGCATCGTTACTAGAAGACCAAGATCGCCGTCACCTGCTAGCTGCCACAGCAAGAAACCGAGACCGCTCCTTCGAAACTCCAGAATTTCGCATCCACTGGCCAGCTATACGTGACCAGGCCACAGATAAAGCCCTTACAGAAATCCAGTTTCGTATCTCAGGGATTTTTCATATCCTGGATGATGCCCTACTACGTGCCTCACATCGACCAGATGGGTTTCCCCTCAGTGACTTCGCATGCCTTGCCAACAACCTCTATTTGTTGGCGGCAGATGCAGCATCATTTGTCACAGCCCAGCGCATTAGGCGCATATATGTGGCTCATGGTTTGCCCCCACCACACAACATTGACCCAGCTAAGGGCATGGCAGATGTCATCGAGGATATTCTCCACCAGAAAGAAGTGGCTCGAAAACTGGCACGCCCTATGGCAACCCGCAGACACAAAACCCGCTTCCAGAACCAGGGAAACGTGGGTACCCCACCCCCTCCTATACACAGCCGACAACCAGCAGAACCTCAGCGCAACTGGAGCAATCACAGTACCAGCAATACCAACGGCCAACAGCGCAACCAAAGAGCCCCACGCCATCCAACCCAACACTAAATATTGGTGGACGCCTCCGACATTTTACCAGCTCCTGGCAAAGAATATCGCCGCCAGCTTTTATTCGATCTATTCTATATTCTGGTTTCCATATCCCCCTCTCCAAGCCTATCCAACCCAACTGCCCCCCACCGCGTATATATTCAGACAGCGACAGAGCACTGATCACCACCGAAGTCGCCTCTCTATTAGACAAGACTGCCATTTGCAAAGTCGACCCATCAACACCTGGTTTCTACTCCCCTCTCTTCACCGTCGCCAAAAAGAATGGCAAGCGCCGCCCAGTCCTCGATTTGAGACTCCTCAACAATCATATTACTCCCCGTCACTTCAAGATGGAGGGCATCAAGACGATATTTGGCATGATGCAACGGAAGGATTGGATGACAAGTATCGACCTCTCCGATGCCTTTCTGCATGTGCCCGTGGCTGCAGACTCCCGCCATTTACTACGCTTTGCCTGGGAAGGCACTCACTACGAGTTTCAATGCCTTCCTTTTGGTCTATCTCTTTCACCGCTTATTTTCACCAAGGTCATGGCCGCCGCACTACGCCATCTGCGCAGCAAGGGAATTCGAGTAACAGCATATATGGACGACCTCCTGATCATGGCCAAAACCAAACAGCAGGCCCAGCAACACACCGACAGAGTTCTCCGCACATTGCAAGACTTGGGATTCCTTATCAACCCAGACAAATCCACAATGCACCCACGACAAGTAATCGAGCACCTGGGCTTTATGATCCGCTCACGGACAATGTCTATACATCTACCCTCAGCCAAACGCCGCGACCTGCGCCGCAGTGCACAGAAGCTCATCAATATAGGACATGCCACACCTCGCCAGCTAGCGTCATTTATCGGCAAAGCCTGCGCAACTATGCCCGCTATTCTACCCTCACGACTCTTCACTCGGGCACTCCTTCGCACCAAGAATGCAGCCCTAGGCCACCACTCCTGGGATACAACTATTCCCCTACCACCAGATGCCCTCCACGAACTGCAATGGTGGCAGCAACGCCTACTCCTCTGGAACGGCCAGTGTTTTCTGCCTCCACGCCCATCTATGGAGATTTTCACAGACGCCTCTTCAGATGGCTGGGGCATCGTTACACCAGAACGCACTATCCAAGGAAAATGGCAACAGCACGACAGGTTGCGACACATCAACTACAAGGAATTGCAGGTCCTCAGCTATGCAGCAACACTACAGGAATGCCAAGGGAAGCATATCCTAGTACACTGCGACAACAGTACAGCCCGTGCCTATATGAACAACCAAGGTGGCACATTCTCCCCTCAGCTTTCACACCTAGCAGAGTCAATCTGGCACCGATGCCTCCAGTCAGCAACATCACTACAGGTTGTGCATATCCCATCAGCAATGAACCCAGCCGATGCACCATCCCGCGCACAGAGCAGCAAGACTACGTGGTACCTACACCCACACACATTCCACAGGATCTGCCAGCAATGGGCACCAGCAGTGCAAATTCCGTATGCACCACAGCTCGACCTCCCACAGCTACAAATCACCCAACCGCTATATCACCAGTGGCCACACGGCCAGCATCTCCTCTGCATCCCACCATGGCATATGATCCTAGCCATCCTACAGAAGATTCAACGTGAACACCTACACAACGTTGTTCTTCTTGTCCCCTATTGGCCATCCGCTCCATGGTTCCCGATACTTCTACAGCTCCAACAGGGCCAACTACTGCACATTCCCCCCGACCACATTTGCCCAACCAGCACAACACAACAACATCCACTAGGCCGCAACCCCCAGTGGTCCCTCATCGCCTGCTGCGTCAGCGCCAGCAACTAGCAGAAGCTGGACTAAGCAGTGATGCTATCTCAATTGCACTCCACCCAGCAGCACAAACAGCCCGAACCCGAGCCTATTCTTCTATCCAGGACCGGTTCAGTACCTGGTGTGAGGAACGATCCATTCAGGCTACAAAAGCAGCAGCAGCCGACATCGTTAATTTCCTTGCAGAAGGACGGGTCCACCTACACTGGGAGCCGAGCACTATCCTTAACTACAGATCCGCACTTCTTGATATGCAAGATGACCCCTCACGACTCACCCACTCTGGGGCATTCTCAGCATTCTTCACTGCTATTGATCGCTCTGCACTACTCTCATTCGACAAATCTGCACCAGATATCTCCCCTATCCTTACTAGTTTCCGCTCACTTGGCCCATCTGCAACTCTCTCTATACCAGACCTTACACGCAAATTGTGCTGGCTCCTCGCTGTCACTGGCTTTATGCGCCCATCAGACATTGCCAGAATTGATGCTTCCCGATTAGCCATACACGCAGATCACGCTTACCTAATAATTGTTGCTCCTAAGGAACTACGCAGAGGTCGCCGAATCGAACGGCCAGTCCACATCCATAGGCATCCAGACCCTCTCATTTGCCCTGTGGACTGCTTAACGGCTTACAAAGCCAATATACTCGATATATATCCAGCAGCCCCAGCAACTCACCCGACGGCCCCTCATCTCAAATTCACACCACTTATCCATGATCAACGACGCCCCTTCCATGGTATTGGCACTCAACGCATCTCCAAACATATACAGGCCATTATGTCCCTTATCACTTCCTCTCGCCGAATCTCAGGGAGGTCCCTTGGCTCAGACGCTGCCTCTAAACATGGAGTCTCTCTTGACGAAGTACTGACACAAGGTTTTTGGTCTGCGGCAGGGGTCTTTGATACCCACTACCGCATTAACCGCCGCTCACAGACCAACCTGACGACACTTGCTCTGCAAGCACCTTCTCCACATACCAGCAGTCACTGCTGTGATGACTAATGTCATCCTGAACGAACGTCTCGTGACGTTCTGGAAACATTAGTCGAACAGCAGTGACTGCTGCCCTCCCTCCTCTCCCTCTCTTCTGAAAAATTTTCCGGTAAGGAGCTCATCCATAGAGGTACTAGCTCCCTTTTTTTATATGTGTCGGATGATACTCAGAAGCTCACCCTCCACGTTTCATTTATGATTTCATCTAAAATTTCATTTTAAATTTCTATCTTAATTTCAGTCTTTAATACAGAAAGGTTCCCAACCAGCAGTCACTGCTGTTCGACTAATGTTTCCAGAACGTCACGAGACGTTCGTTCAGGATGACAATGTCGTACACACTACATGTTTCATAGTCTTATCTTTTTCGCTTTTGTCGATACCTACACTACCAATATTGTCACTTACAGTTTACACATAATGTTTTTTGAGGTGTCTCCTACTACCGGTGGTACTTTTCGCAATGCACAACAATGTGAAGTCCATGGGACCCAGACAGAATCTCATGCAGCTGAACTTACACTTGATTATTTTGGTAGATAGCTATACGAAGATCGTGTTATAATATATTTACTAGGTCACAACCACCAACTACTCTATATTAGCAAAGATCAGCATTGGGTACTGTGAACGGCATAAATACTTCGTTGATAGTATCGATTATCAAGGTGAAAATAGGTAAACAAGCATTTCAATTAAACAAAGTTTGGTACTGACATAATAGTGCTCTACAGGTACCTTAGCAGCAGTCCGTCGTAGTAAGCAGCAGTAAATAGAAGCAAAGAGCTTGAAATTGCGCAGTCTAGAAGCAAGTGAGCAAGACGGTCAACCATTCGACAAGAACTGGTTAGATAGCCTTCCACTCATTAGCAAGCAGCATAGTTTCATTATCTGCCCACATTCTTATTTACTAGAGATGGTAGGTTCTGTTGAACATAGTGGATATGATACTCTTCACCAGATTTATCCCATGGCCCTTATCGTGGACAAACGACAGGACACTCCATATAGTGCGGGGCATTTCAGAAGTCAGAAATACAGTGCGGAGCTCCACCACCTATGCTTTTAGATCGTGTCGAGTCATGGTCGCAATTGAGTTAATCGATGATGTGAAGCAGGAGAAACCTATCCATTAAACAAGTGCGGAAAAAATTATGGATTAAAAAACCTCGAGCGATATTATCTCATAATGCTAACCCACGCGAATCGAATATTTGCCATTGCCAATCAGGACAAGAGGAGGAAAATGACCACAAAACAATCCTCAGACACAACAATACTCAAGGTGGGGAATAGGAAAACAATATGCTTGAAGCCCGCTCAATGTGGGTTGGGGTAAGCATGGCCAAATGAGCCACTTTGACAGTCAAGAAATGGTGGGCACCGAAGGAGAGGGCAATGAACATGCATTTATTAGTTGCCTCATCTTACACACTACCTGTTTCATAGCTTTATCTTTTTGCTTCTATCAACATGAGACTACCTGTGCTACCACTTACAGTTTACGTATAATATATACCAAAATGTCTCCCACTGTCAGTAATAGTCTTCGCAACGCACAACAATATGAGGTCAATGGGGTTCAGGACGTGTCTCACGTATATGACCTTGCCAGTGATTATTCTGGCATATAGCTATAGTTTTAATGCTTTTTAATATATTTGCTGTCACAAATTATTAACTGCTCTGTAAAACCAGAGGCAAATGGTAGACACAGTGGATGCCATAAACGCTTCATTGGCACCATCATTGTTCAAGATGAAAATTTGCGAGGAGACACTTCCGTATAGTGCTTGCCTAGAAGGAGTCCAGTGGCTATCTTGGCAGTAGGCTGCAGCAGCAAGCACCTGTGGTTGTACATAAGGAGCTTGAGCCCATACAGGACAGAGCCAACTGATCAGAATGGACTACCACTTCACAAAACCAGTCGGATGGGGCTTCGGTTGTCTACAGAGAGCGTATACCTTGTAGTAGACTACATACTTGTTTACCAGAGATACAGAATTCTGTTGAACCCTTTATAGGAATGATGTTTCGCAGTGGAATTAGGCTAATATCCTTGTCGTGGACAAATGAAGAGATACTATCCATACCATGCTATGATGGGCTATACTGTTTGTCTATGCGAATGCTTTGAAAACCTACAACTACCAATCAAGACAAGAGATGGAGAATAGCTGTAGGACAATTCTCAGAGACAACAATGCTCTCGACAGTGAATACGAGAACAACAGGCTTGAAGCCCACTAAACAAGGGTTGGGGTTGGCTTGGACAAAAGAGCAAGCTCAGCAGCCAAGAGATTGTGGACATCGAGGGAGAGGACAACGGGAATGTGCTTATTAGTTGCCATGTCGTACACACTACGTGTTTCATAGTCTTATCTTTCTCGCTTTCGTCGATACCTACACTACCAATATTGTCGCTTACAGTTTATATATAATGCATTTTGAGGTGTCTCCCACTACCGGTGGTGCTTTTCGCAATGCACAACAATGCGATGTCTATGGGAAACTGTCTGAAAACTATCCGGTTGACCGTACGCGTGAGTTTTATGGTATTTCTTAAAATAAATGATATTGTAGAAATATATTCACAATATCGCAAACAACTAGCATTTCTATAATACTATTGGGCAACAATAAAACACTGTGAATGGCATAGATAATATGCTAATATAAAGCCAATTTTCAAAAGGAATGTTTATTAACAAACGTTTTAGTTTAATGATGCCTCAATGATGGCTCAAAGGAATTAATCAAATACATTGTAGGCTGCTGTAACAAACAGCTGTAAATGTAAGCAAGGAACTTTAAATGACATAGATAGACGCAAATACCAAAAATGAGCTACTATTCAGTGAGAGTTGGTCAGATAACTTTCTACTTGTTATCAGACAGCGTATATTCTCTATCAACCTACATGTTTACTAGAGATGCTGAACTCTTTTGGACACCTTGTAGGAAGGACGTATCGCAGTGAAGCTAAGGTACTATCGTTGTCGTGGACAAATGACAAGATACTATCCATATCATGCGATGATAGACTCTACTGTTTGTCCATGTTAATTACCTGAATATTTGACATAGCCAATCAAGACCAGATGTGGAGAATGACCACAAAGCAATTCTTAGCAACAACAATGCTCTAGGCAGCGAATATGAGAACAATGGGCTTGAAACTCGCTCAACGTGGATTGGGGTAGACTTGGACAAGATACAGCTCGACAGTCAAGGGATGATAGATATCAAGGGAGAAGACGAAGAGTATGTGTTTACTAGTTGTCACATTTTGCACACTATGTGATTCACGGTCGTATTTTTCGTTTTCATCGACACTTACACTACCAGTGCCATTGCCTACAGTTCTCATATAATGTGTTTCAAGATGTCTCACACTGCCAGTAGCGCCTTTCGCAACACGCAACGATATGAAGTCTATGGGAACCAACATGAGCATGTTCCATACGACCGTACACGTGAATTTTTTGGTGTTAACTGATGAGAGTTTTCTCAATATATCTACATTGCAAACCACGAGATTTTCCATAGTACCAAAAGCTATAGTGGGATGCAGTAAATAGCATAAACGCTGCTAACATAGTGCCACTATTCATGGTGTAGTGGTTGCTCGATAGTGGTTAAAAGGAGTCCAATAGCTACCTTGGCTGGAATTTGTCATAGCAAGCAGCAGTAGATGGAAGTAAGGAGCCTGAAACCGTGCAGATCAGAACCAGCTGGCCAAAACGGACTACCATTCTGGAACAACTGGTTGGAAGGAATTTCAGTCTTCAACAGGTGGCGTTTATCTTCTGTCAGGCTGCATATTTGTCTACCCGGATGTTGCACTTGGGTATCGTCACTACGAACACGACGGTAGTCAAAACAACTAGCTTCCGTTCCATATCCGGAGGAAATAATGAGAAGCCGGGTATACTCGATATTCTACAGAACTACACAGAACTCTCTACCCGCCTTGCTCCAATCTCACATTCCACCGGAGCCAATTCCTCCGGGGCCTCAATAATTCCCAAAGCAACTCTAACCGACCGTTTACACAGCGGACACTCTTCCGACTGCTCCATCAACCACCCCCTAGCGCACATTTTATGAAACGCGTGATTGCAGGGCAGCAGCACCACCTGCCCGCTCATCGCGCAAAGGCAAATTGCGCAGTCATCGAAGTCATGCTTGAAAAATGTAATAGGGCGGACACGCAGCATGTCGAACATAGGGGCGGTGAGCACAGGCCGTTTGTTGCGCAGTTCAGCGCGGCCTCGGGCATGTACCGACGGCGGGCGTAGTTTGCCGCGGAATATTATGGCGGCCCAGATACTGCCAGTGAGGAACAGAATGCCGATAACGACAAAGAGCGCGATGAGCGTGGTGTTTGGGCGGCCGCCCTTGGATAGGGCACTGGGAGATGCTGAGAGTGTGGGTGGTGGGGCCGAAAAGCTGGTAAAGGAAGTAGTCTGCGACATTGTAGAAGAGAAAGGGGGAGCTTTATAGAGCTGAGAGTGCTCTCTTGTAATGGCCCACCGGATGACATGGTTGGAGGGAGCGGTTTCGTCATACAGGAGCCGGCGTGACTACATGATCTGCCATCATATGCATGAGGGGCTGGAATGACACTAAAAAAAGATATATAATTTTTGTGTGAAAAAGACATCTCTTATGCGCTCTTCTTCTTGTTGGCCGCCTGCGCCAGCCCAAACCGGACCCTGCCTACCGCCATGGCCACGGCGAACACACCAAACACCATAAGCGCCACCACCGCCGGCTTCTGCCACACGGCCACTGCCGAGTACGAATACATCACCAGCACGTCGCCCAGGTCGCCCGGCGCAACATTCCCGGTGGTCACCACTACAGTGGTGCGGCCCGTCGAGTCCAAGTAATACCAGGTCGGCTCGTACGCAATCTCGGCACGCACCGGCACCCTGACATCGATGTCGGTAGCGCCCTCGGGCAGCGTCACATGCAGCTCGTATGACTCAACCGCGACGTTCTCCGCCACAGCCATGTCGACGGTCAGCTCGCTCTTGCCGCTGGCCGACGCCGCAATATGGCCGATAAACGGCACCTTCAGGAAATGCCGCGCGCCCTGCCTCCTCAGATACGCATGCAGTGGCAGGCTGTAGCCGTGCCACCACGTGTACTGGTCGCCGCCCGACAGCGGGTACCGCGGCTTCAGCTGCAGGATCCGGAACTCCTGGCCATGTGCCTCGCGCGGACTGGTCACGGCCGAAGTCGACACGTTGCCGAT